TATCTGCATTTGAGTTGAGTGTTGGGGTTTGCTCAATTTAGCGAACTCTACCACAAGGTCATTACATTGGCGTTGTAGTTTGATTTTGGCTGTGAAACACAATTACTTTGAAGTTTTGCATATATTTGTACAGAACTTAATAGCAGGTGTCACTGGAAATTTATTCTGTTTTATTTGCCATGTTGTTTCTTAAGCAACCAATGGTATAAATGCATAAGTATGTTGTTGTAGATGTGGCTGTATCTAGGCTATTAGGATCTTGAAATCTAATTATACTGATGGCTAATTCTTTGAATGTTGTTGGAATTCTGTAGGTGGTGGGCTTGGATTGATGATGGGCTTGCTTCTTGGGGCGTTAGACACTCCTCTAATGCAAGACGAAATGACTGGCAGACAGCAGTTCATATACCAAGCAAAGCAGATGGGCCGGAGGAGTTGGAGTTCTGCAAGAGCATTTGCAGTTATGGGGTTTGTTTTCTCAGCTGCTGAGTGTGTTGTTGAAAAGGTATTGCCGAATATGTGAAAATTCATACTCTTAATTTGTTTGTGATTGATGAGGTTTAATATCTTTGCTATGGGGGCTAATTCTGCGTTATTGTTTCAGGCACGAGCTAAACATGACACAACAAATACAGTTGTTGCTGGATGTGTAACTGGAGGTGCACTGTCAGCAAAAGGTAACCTTTTCCCTGATCTGTTAACCCTTTGTCTTCGTTGAAAGTGTAATATGAATTTGTGATATGTTGTTGTACAAAACTTCAAACCGACATATACAGATCTTACACTTCAGATGAAGTCCATAAATCCAAGGAATTTCGTTGTCTATATAATGATTATTGTCAACTCTGCATTCAGGCATATCACCATATGATTCTCCCTGCACACTTTCTTTCCCTTTCTTCTCCTTTGAAAGGTGAAATTGATTAGTCCCATCATTTCTTTGGCAGAACGTTAATTTGAGTTGCTGGTCTGAACTGATTTCATTTAGATGTAGGGATGGGGAAGACAAGTAAACTGCTATTTTGACAGAGCTGATGAATGGTGTTTGTAAAAAATTTAACATCTTCAAACATAAACGGATGAGACTTATGCCATTGAATACATCAATTATCTGGCTGGAGATGCCTAAGGGGTTAGTGCCTAGTTCTAGCTCTATCAGTCAAACGCAGATACTCCCCCCCTC